TCCCTCCACTTTTCTATGTCAAAGCTGGCCATAAAGAAATTATCTGGCCTACCATGTTTGATTGTAAGCTATAGGACCCCCATTTCAGAATGGCTCCTTCCCCATACCCAGAAGAAAGGAATGCTTCACAGAGAGTCCCCAGGAGGAATCTAAATAGATAGGGCTTGCTGGGATGTCTCCTCAGTCTGTAAGCATTGGATCATACCCTTTGTATCCAATTGTATTTCCACACAGCTGTTCATACTTGGTTGAACCTATGCAGAAGAATGAACAGCTTCTCCTATGTCTTGGGTCTTCATTCTGAAGGCTCTCCTGTCACATAAAATTATGGTTAAATAATTTGTATGCGTTTTCTCCTATTAATCTGTCTCTTGTCAGCTGATTTTCAGCAAACCTTCAGAGGGTGAAAGGGAAGTTTTCCCTTGCCACAACTGGAATAAATAGCCCTAGCAATGCTTTGAACCCATCTAATAAATTATAAAAGAAAACCTGAAAGGCCCAAGTAACCACGTAACTGAACTTTTCAAATGTCTCAGAACAACTACAAAGGTAAACCATACTGGGCCATAAAGCAAATCTCAATAAATTTAAAATGATCCAGTTTATACACATATGTTCTTGGGCCATAATGGAAATTAATGTAAAATTAGTAACAAAAAGATATTTGAAAAAAAAATCCCGTAAATATTTGAAAACCAATTATAACACGCTTTTTCTTTTTTTTGAGACAGAGTCTTGCTCTGTTACCAGGCTGGAATGCAGTGGGTACGATCTTGGCTCACTGCAACCTCTGCCTCCTGGGTTCAAGTGATTCTCTTGCCTTGGCCTCCCGAGTAGCTGGGACTGCAGGCATGTGCCACGATGCCCAGCTAATATTTTGTATTTTAGTATAGATGGGGTTTCACCAGGATGGCCAGGATTATCTAGATCTCCTGACCTTGTGATCTGCCCACCTCAGCCTCCCAAAGTGCTGGGATTACAGGTGTGAGCCACCGTGCCTGGCCCAATTATAACATACTTCTAAATAACCCATGCATCAAATAAGGAATCAAAAACAGAAAATAAAAAGTAGTTTGAACTGAATACAAATGAATATACAACATAATCAGAATTTGTCACATGCTGCTAAAGTGGTAATTTGGGGAAAATTTTTAACACTAAATGCTTACATTGAAAATGAGTAAAGATCTCTAATCAGTGACCTCAGCTTCCACTCTAAGCGACCAGAAGATAATTACAAATTAAACCTGAAGTAAGCAGGAAAATGGAAATACTAAATATTAGAGAAAAAAATCAATAAAATGGAAAAATAGAGAAAATCAATGAAACAAAAAACTGGGTCTTTGAAAAGATTAATGAAATTTATCAATCTATACTGATAAGGAAAAAGAGAGTGAAGATGTACATTGCTACAAAGTGAGAGAGGTGACATTACTTTAATTCTACACCTACTAAACAGACAATAAGAAAATATTGTGGGCCAGGCACAGTGGCTTATATCTGTAATCCCAGCACTTTGGGAGGTTGAAGTGGGAGGATCACTTGAGGTTAGGAGTTCAAGACCAACCTGACCAACATGATGAAACCCTGTCTTTACTAATTAAAAAAATAAATTAGCCAGGCATGGTGGTGCACACCTGTAATCCCAGATACTCAGGAGGCTGACGCAGGAGACTCACTTGAACCTGGGAGGCAAAGGTTGCAATAAGCCAAGATCACACCATTGCAACAAGAGCAAAACTCCATCTCTCTCTATATATAATAATTTTATGCCGAGAAATTCAACAACTTAGATGTAACGAGCATATTTATTGAAAGACACAAATTACCAAAGCTCATGCAATAAGAAATCAGTAACCTGAATAGCCCCATACTTATATATAAACAAATTGCATTTGTAGTTCAAAATCTAACAAAGAAAACTCCAGAGTTATAAGGCTTCAGTGGTACATTTACTAAACATTTAAGGAGGAAATAATATCAATACTATACAAACTGTTTTGGAAAACTTAAGAGAATACTTACCAAATCCTTGTGACCAGTACTGTTACAGTACAAAAACCAGACAAAAACATTCCAAGAAGAAAAATTATAGCCCAATATCCTTCATGAACATTAATGTAAAATCTCTAAATATTTTAGAAAATCAAACAGTGTATACAAAGGATAATGGGTAATGACCAAGTGAGGTTTATCCCAGGAATTAATGTAACATGGTTATGAACTAACTAATTAACACATTAAAAAAGAAAACATAAAAAAGAATGAGATCATGTCCTTTGCAGGGACATGGATGGGGCTGGAGGCCATATCCTTAGCAAACTAACACAGGAACAGAAAACCAAATATTGCATGTTTTTGCTTATAAGTGGGAGCTAAATGATGAGAACGCATGAACGCATAGAGGGGAACGACACATTCTGGGGCCTCTGAGAGGGTGGAGGGTGCGAGGAGGGAGAGGATTGGGAAAAACAACTAATGGGTACAAGGTTTAATACCTGAGTAATGAAGTAATCTGTATAACAAACCGGGTTTATCTATGTAATAAACCTGTGCATTTTGCACATGTACCCCTGAACTTGAAAACATATGATCATCTCAATAGATACATAAAAAGCATTTGACAAATTTAGCATCCCCTTATTTTATTTATATTTTATTTTTCCGTAAGTTATTGGGGTACAGGTGGTATTTGGTTACATGAGTAAGTTCTTTAGTGGTGATTTGTGAGATTTTGGTGCACCCATCACCCAAGCAGTATACACTTCACCACATTTGTAGTATTTTATCTCTTGTCCCCCTCCCACTATTCCCCCCCCAAGTCCCCACAGTCCATTGTATTGTTTTCATGCCTTTGCATCTTTATAGCTTATCTCCCACATATCAATGAGAACATATAGTGTTTGGTTTTCCTTTCTTGAGTTACTTCACTTAGAATAATAGTCTCCAATCTCATCCAGGTCGAAAATGCTGTTAATTTTTGTGGTTGAGTAGCATTTCATTGTATATATATATTTTTTTTCTGTCAAAAGGAATAGTAAATGGTTAAACTATGGTGTGTGTGTATATATATATATATATATATATAT